AATCCGATTAGTTGTGTCCATGTAAACGTAGCTAATGTTAAATAAAGCGATACTATGCCAGCTAGTAAGTATGACTTTTAGACATGCCGAGCATCTAAATAATTGTGCAATAAGGCATAAATATCTCTCAAATTGTTATGATCTTGGTGCTGATGATTGGTCTGATTACTCTTTTCACTCACCTGCTTATCTCCACCCTGTTTACATTACAGTTCATCTGATCCAACTGCTTTAGCCTCTGTTTAACCAGCCATCAGACCAGTCATCAGGGCCAGTGGTGAGAAGTTATCTAGCATTCCTGTATTTCTGATTGCCTGATCCTGACCCATTTTGCCTCTCGACCTCTGAGCTTGCCTGTTTTCATTCTAATCTGTTTGCCTGACCTGTCTCCGGACTCCTGCTGGATTTCTACCTGTCTGTCTGAACCTGAAACTGTTTAATGACTCTTTCCTGGATTCCACTTCGGCATGTCGACACTAGATTTGGCTTTGCCTTGTGGATTATCTTGCCTTCCTTCATTGTCTCTTTGGGTCTGATCTCCTGCCTGTCCTCTAATCACCAATACATCAGCGTGTGGGACTCTCTGGAGGGCACCCCGCTGAATAGTGTTGGCAGCTGCCATTTTAAAAAAATTTACTGCCTAATAACTGCTAAGATGAGGAAATAATATATAAAACTCTCTCTGAGTCCAAAACAAAAAGAGCCTAATACATTTTTATTTTATCATTCTTTAACATAAATGCAGACAAAAAAGGTGTTACTCATCTATTTTTGTTTGGCAAAACTTATTTTCTCATTTGTTTACATACAGTACATGTATGAAATTCATATTCCGAAAAGGCCTTCGCAATTTTAGTTGTAATGTTTAAAATATTCAGTAGCTATATAACTCAAATGCGTTCTCAAATGCTTATGATATCAAATGGTAGGCTTAACGATTGCTGTAGTGGTGAGGATGATAAAGGTGCATGCAGGAAGTTTTGAAAGAGGATGTTCAGATTGGGACACAAGTTTAGGGTTGTTTATTCTGTTGACATGTATGGGGGCACAACAGTTCTTAACTCATTAATGATCATTAAACATCTCACTGAGAGAACATGAAATCTTATTTAAAAAAAAAACATAATATTAAATGGCTATCATTTAATAAAACAGGAAACATTACTTCCATAGTTAAACAAGTTGTTTGCATGATTAAAAAGAAAAATGGTCAAAAAGTTATTGAATCTTTGTCTAGTTTGGATTCTTCCTGCAGTAAGACAACTATATATATATATATATATATATATATATATATATATATATATATATATATATAT